ACTTGGTTTACCTTGACGTGTGAAAACCTTGTTGGCTTTATTAACTTCTAGATGCTGAAGTAGTTGATTAAATAAGGTTTTTGCAAGTAACTCAGAAAAAACAGGAAGAACAGGAATTGGCCGATAGTTTGAAACTTCTGTTGGATCACCAGATTTAAAAATGGGAGTAATCTGAGCAAACTTCCAGGCATCAGGGAAAATAGACTGCATAATACATAAATTAAGCAAATGATGAAACAATGGTAAAGTGTTGGCATGCTTTTTCAAGAAATCCATATTTATCTTATATTTGTCAAATGCAAATGATTTGTACTGGTCTGGACTGAGCTAAAAAAATCCAATGAAGGGATTTCCCAGCGCCAGCAGAGAAGCGTGGTCAAATTAAAAGAAAATTAAAACAAATAGAACCAAAAGAATTATTTCTGGAGTCATACCTGTGGTAGAAATTTGACAAAGTGTCCATGGCATCAAATTTTCGTAATAAACACAACTGCACTTTTGGAAAGATTTGAAGACATATTGCAAATAAAGTTTCACGCCGCTGAGATGAACAGTTGTTGAGATATTTGCATGCTCAATAACAGGAAGTGATGTCAAAGGGGAATGTCTGCAAGTGAACAGAGCGATGCTGCAGTAACTGACAACACAGACTGTAAAGAAGAATCTGAAATTTCTTTAGATTATTTGGAGTCACTATCAGAGAGATAAAGAAGAGTCAGAGTTCAAATAATAATGTTTCAATAAACAAAGACCAGAAAGTTCCTTTTATTAAAGACTTTCCCTTTGATGTCACTTCCTGTTTCGCTTTGGCTGAACTAAGTTCRAAAGAAAATATGAAAGTTATGTGACAAAATGGATAAAACCATGTGTTTTATGAAAAGCTTCTTAAATATAAAGTCTTTTCTTTGACTTTCTTAATATGAAGGAYATGCATGTTACAGGCACTTTAAAGGAAGATTGTGAAGATTACATGTTAGTTTAGTTACTGCTAGACGGGGTCTTTATGGACAAATGTTCACGCAAATCTCACAGCCAAAATTAATATGTCCACAATTTTTACGCTGCAACCTACCTGTGTTCATTTTGACACATTTTGCCAACACATCTGTGTAAATAAATTGTGTTAATCTGATGCTTTGATGTCAGCGTAGATGCATCATATAAAGACTGTGTTGCATCTCCTGCTTAGATTAAAATGTTTCTCTCATTCTGGCTCAATGCAGAGCTTTATCTGCTGATTGATGCTTTATTAAAATTATGTTGAATGTCTTTAGTGAGGTGGCAGGTTTGAACAGTAACTCTTGAACAGGAAATGAGTTGTCTACATTTTACATAAAGAAAAAAAATTCTTCTCAGAGGATCCACACTGCCTCTCCTCATCTTGAAGTATTATACCGTAGCTCAGGGTAAGCCTCGCCTTAAGGAGGAGACTCCATTGCTGGATGTGGATGCTGGCACTCGCAGGTTGAGCATAGACTTTCTAACAGGAAGGTGGCGAACGATCAGAATCAGCATCAGAACGCCAGTTTTTTTTCAGAGGGATCAGATGAAAACTGCTGACGCACAACTGTTGGACTACGTTTGGCTCTAACCTCATCAAAACGTTTGCTGACGACACCCCAGATGTTGGGCCCATCAGCAGCAAAGATGAGTCACAAGCACACAAGAAGGGAGGATGGAGGAAATGAAAACCTGGAAACTCATTCCGTGTTAATCTCATCGCAGGAAATGAARCAGAAAGAACGTGAATTTGTTTAAGTTTAGTTTAGGGAAACACCATTTTAACTCCTGGTTCATCAAAACAGCAGCACTTTCCTCATGAATACTRGAGGCAGATTGATAATAAAGTTATAAATCATTTAATTTTATCCAAACAGTTAAAGTTAGCAGTCAGAGAGCTGAGTTATGTTTTGTTGGAGACGTTTGTGGCAGGGTGTATAGTTCATCACCTGTCTGATTCTGTACTGTTTGTGTGACATGATGGACCAAACCTTGGCTCTGACGGACGTCAGTGTTTGGCTGATGGAGCCTACATGTCCATCAACAAGGAAGAACCAGCCAGACTAATGAATCTGTCCTCTTGCTTCTACACAGGCTGCACTTTTTTTCCTGCTTCGTATAAACTCATATACCATAATGGGGGCAGTGTGAGGTTCATTATGGGTTCACATGGAGGGGGATGAAAGCTCTGACGGTCTGCCTGCTAGTCGACCTCATCTGCCCTGATGGCAGCTCCATCACGGTGTATGGTGTAATTAAAATGAGAGTGAGTTCATGTAAGGAGGACAGCTCAGAGGTCAGGCTGCTGCTGTCTCCTTGGTGTGGAGAGAGTTTGGCAGGATTTAAATGAGGTCCTCTATTAAAGCCTGTGATAAAAGCAGACGAGACCCACCAACCTTGAGAGGGACGTTTTTGTGGAAGGTTGCAGGATTCTTTTCTGAAACTTTTAAACTCAGCGTTTAACAGTATAATTTCTTTTTATAAAAGTGAGTTTTTAATATGTTACCTTACAAACTTCCTACAACATAAAACCTGTGCCTGCCCGACTACACAGATCCATCCCCACCTCCAAAGGCAGCCATTTATAGAAACACCTTTTACAAAAATTTCTGCATCAAGTCTCTTCACCTTTATCTCCATGATGATATAWTTAGCTCCAGCCTCCATCCATCTTTCCTTTAAGTCTAGCCAGCTTTTGAGACCTCAGCATGATGCTGCCACCACTATGCTTAGCTGTGGGATGGTCTTCTCAGTCAGTGGTAGACTTGTGCCAGACAGGATCAGGCTTTGAGGTAGGATTTTGGAAGAGTTCAACACTTTAGGCCAGTGGTCTAATTGAATTGTTTGGATGACGTTACAAAGCTTTCTCGATATAATAAAGTCTGTCATGCTTTCGATTCAGTTCACAGGTCTGCAGTCGAAATGATGCCGTATCTTATATCCATCTAATATAAATGACTGTGTTGAATGGGCAGATGATATCAATCCACATTAATTGTTTAATCAATATACCAATGTGGATCGATGAATTGTTACACTCTTACTTTACACCCACACCCCCATTATCAAAAGTTCCTCATCTTACGGACAAGGAGCGGAGATTGTAGCAACAGCCCACAAGGTTCTTTCAGAAGACAGTACCACTAAATGGGCGACACTACCTGAAGTCACCAACATTAATCAGTGCAGAATCAAGAGAGGCGTGGGTAAAAAACAAACCTCAGCGGTCACTCAAGCTTCAGACGAGTCTCAGAAGGACTCGTGCCACTTATTATATTG